TCTCTCTCTCTCTCTCTCTCTATATATATATATATGTGTGTGTGTGTGTGTGTGTGTGTGTGTGTGTGTGTGTGTGTGTGTATACATATATATATGCCACATTTTCTATTAATCCATTAATGCACACTTAGATGGTTCCCATTTCCATTTCTTTTTTTTTCCTTTATTGTAAATAATGCTGCAATGAACATGGGAGAGTGCAGATACCTCTGTCCTACTTTTCATAGTGGTGCAGTTATTTACACCTACCAACAGTGTGCAAGGGTTCTCTTTCCACCACATCCTTAACAGCATTTATCTTTTTAAAAATCTTTTTGATAACTCATTCTTACTGAGTTCTTTGTGGATTTGATATTTATTTCTCTGATGATTAGTGGTGTTGAGCATTTTGCCCTGTACCTGTTAGTCGTTTGTTTGTCTTTGTTTGAGAAATGTCCCCTTGTCTATTGCTTCTTGTTGCTATTGTTGATATTGAGGTTTTTAGAAATTCATCACATATTTTGGATATTAACTCATCAGAAGTATAGTTTGTAAACACTTTGTCATTCTTTAGATTGTTTCCTCTGCTCTGTCAATTGTTTTCTTTGCTGTGCATAAGTATTTTTGTTTGATGAAATCCCATTAGACTATTTCTTTTTGCTTGTTTCTGTTTCCTGTGCTCTTTGTGTCTTATAAAAAAAAATCCTTAGAGATTAAACATTGTTCCTACTGGTGGCTGAATCATTTGTATATTGAGTTATACTTGTTGGTATTTGCTGCTTAAGCTCTTTAAAGGAGTAGATTAACACAAGTATATTATATTACTTTCCTGATATTTCACTGAATATTCTGGATGTTCAACCTGAGGTTTCCATGCTGGTTTGAATCTGAGTATTTCCCAGACTCATGTGAGCTCCTCGGCTTACTCCACTTGTGATACTTTTTGCTAGGCTTTGGGGACTGACTGTCACCTCATGCGCTTGTGCCTTTCGTATTTATCAATAGATTCAAGGGGACACCCATGAAGATTTTTGAATTTTTCTTGGTCATATCTTCCCTTATTGTCTGTATTGCAAATTTCATCAGTGGAGCCTCCATGACCTCTGATCGTGTTTGCTTAATTCAGTGAGACAGTGGTGGTCCACTGAAGTTGTGCTTTGCTTCCCTGTTCACGATGGTCCAGAAGATACCTTCAGGCAGGAGGCCAAGGACAGCATGGGGCCATCTTGTTTCTTTTCCTTCTTGCAGGCATCACAATTCCTTGCTTGATGTTCAATATCTGAAAACAATTACTTTATATACTCTGTTTAGTTTTCTGTGTCCTTTTGTTGTGTTTGTTTAATAGGGGCCTGATAAAGTTCCAATTCCCTCATCATTGTTGGAAGCTACAAAACTGAGAAATTCTCAAGAAATTCTCCCAAATTGTTTGTCAAGCAGGACAGAGACAAAGACATTTGCCTTATTGTACTAGTTTATGTAATTTTTAAAAACAATATATATATATGATATTTATAGCATTGACATAAGGTATAAACTTTGTTATATCTTAGAAAATTAGGTATAAATATACAGTAATAATTTATATTTACACTTATTTAGTGATGGGTTAACTCTCCCTTTGTTCTTAATTTTGAATTATGAACATCTTAAAAATTAATTTTCTGATGACTGCTTTTGTACAATCACAAATACATTCTGAGTAGTGGGTTTATAAATGTATTTTTATATATTTGAATTATTTGAATTTTGTTAGAGCATAGTTTTTAACATTTTATTTATAGTTTGCTTGAGTTAAATTGCTAAAAATATTGATAACAGATTGCTGTTTGTACAATTTGACTTTAAATTTTTCTTTCAGAGTAAAGATTAAAGAAGCTCAAGAATAATGACAGTTCAATCTGGTAGTCAGTATAGTTATATTTAGCACATATACAAAATTTTACATTGCATCTTAATTCTTTTAAAATTTTTAGGTCAATATTAGGCCATTCATAGGTGTGAGGATTACATACTTAATGTGTAAAGATAACAAAGAGAGAAAATTAAATCATTTTCTAATATAAGTGTCAGCTATCAGGCTCAAACACACCCCTAAATATTAAATGCCTAAATAAATTACAGGGACATTCTTACTATTGTTAAGTTTCATGTCTTAGTTTTACCTTTTTCCTTAATTTATGACACACCGGTAACAACAGAATTCTCCAGGAGTAGCTACAAGTTTGTCCCTGTGAGACTTTAAGCTTTAAATACTCTTGTTATGATTAAACTTTCTAGAACCAAGTCTTTTATTGAAACAAACAATGTTATGTGGAATGTGAATTTAGTTTACTGTACACAACATGATTAGGGTATATTCTCTTTTCTTTAAAGATGAAATTCACCTGTAGGAATCATGGTTCCTTTTATAAAAAGCAATAGAAATGATCTAGTGCTATATTTACAAAAGTAAGAAACAGGAAGAAGGGAAGGAAGGAAGGAGAAAGAGGAGAAAAATCAGAGGGCGGGGACAAATGGCTAATACTTTGGCCATTTGATCTACAAAATAGAGATTAGGTATAGACTAAGTAAAGAACTGAGCTTTTTTCAATTTAAAATAGGTCACATAAGGAACAACAGTATGCATTTCACTTAATCCTAATAGTGGGGAACACTAATAAACAGAGAGCTGGCTGAACTTCAATATATTTCAAAAACTTTCTCAAAAATCTTAAACTTTAAAATGTAAGTTCTAGTTTCTTAAATACTATCAAAAATATAATTTCTTAAAAACTGCATTTCTATATATATGTTTAATCAAGAACAGACTGTTATCTTTTCTTTGTTTGCTCCCTATGCCACTAAAGTTTATAGCCAACATAAAGTATATTCAAGTAGGTATAATTACAAAATGGTTGGACTGTGTATGCTGAGAAATCCAATCTCCCTGAATAGATATTTCTATTTTTTTCTGGTAATCTTTACTTTGATATCCTTCTGGATACAAAGCAATGTGTTCATCAGCAAGGCTTTGATTGAATTTGTAGAATATCTTAAGAATTATCTAAATATGTTATTTCCTTTTATGAATTTTATTTAAAAACACTAAAGCACACACACATATGCACACACACATATGAAAAGTTAAAAAAGACAAGTTGGATAAACCTGTCTCATAAATAGGTCTATTTAAGCACATTTCAGTAGTTAGTATGTTGACATTTAAAAATCAATAATCAGGATCTATTTTCAACTTTGTATGCAATCCTGGAAGATGCTCTTTTTGAAATAGCAAAAATCAATCTTTTTTTTGCCAATTCCTGTCTGATATCATCAAGGTTAAATTAAGTGGTTTCACAGGAGAATGTTTAAAAATAGCATTAAAACATTGTCATTTAAACTGTTTTTATTCAGAGTACTGTATGTAATAAATGATATTTTTGAGATAACACTATTATGAGATCAAAAGTAATTACCTAGATCTCGTCACAATGTCACAGGAGGAAGAATCTGGTCAATATTAGGAGAAAAACACACGCACACATATATTATATATATTATATATGAAGATTAGCTTAAACTATAATTGTGTTTTTATCTTTCTGCTTATTATCTATCTGCCTCTTTATTTCTATTGCATGTATGCTAGCTAATATTGCTTATTATAACCTGGTCTCAGCTTGAAATAGAAAATAGCTACTAGTGATAAATTTTAAATACAGTACCTATTTTCATAGCATTGGTGAAGTATGAATTTCAATTTCTGAAACCCCAGACCCATGTAACTCCAATTTTATGCCCTTGATTTTCTGAGATCAAGAATAACCTTTTTGTGTTTTCACAGAGAGGATCAGAGTTGAGAAAATACAGTACCTATATATGTAATCTCATTATTTTCACAATATTCTTTTTTCATTGCTCGACTCTCAGTCTTCTAAAGATATCAATTTGTGAGATCATTTTATCCTAACAAATAGCAAAAGAGAAATCTACTTACAGCCAATCAACATGACACAAATTGAAAAGATTTTCTCCGAATTGGTGTTAGGAGACACATTTCCAAATCCTACACTTGTTAAACTGCTGAAGGTAAAATAAAGTGCTGTGACGTATTTGTCTTTAATGGATGGTCCAGAACTGGAGTCACTGTCATTGTAACGTTTCCCAATTTGTTGTCCTAAGGAGTCCAACCATCCAATTTTGTCTGTCAGATATGGCCTTTCTACATTCCCAATCGCATACCAAATGCAAGCCAGCCAGTGAGCAATCAGGGCAAATATGCACATTAAGAGCATGAGGACAGCAGCACCATATTCTGAGTATCGATCCAGTTTCCTGGCCACTCGCACAAGACGAAGGAGTCGAGCAGTCTTCAAAAGACCAATTAATGTGGTTGTCTGTTGGAATAAATGTTCATGGTTAGAAACAGTTGCTAAACAATTCAAAATACGTTCCTGTAAAACAGAGTTGTTTATAATCAAATTAAAACAATATTGTAGTGTTGAGATTACTGTATATTTAGATTATTAAAGTTAGTTCTTTTTAAAAATTAAACATGATTTCCAAAATACTTTGAAATTATATATAATATAATATAATATAATATTATATATAATATATGTATATATCAAATTCAGTATTCTGACATGCAAGAAAGATGGGACAGAAAATCTTATTTTAAACTCTAATCAAGTGCTTTGCAATAATGTGTACACAGTAATTCATTAACTAACAATGTTTCTGCGTTGTTACCTGCCTATAAGATACTTACTGCCCACCAGGATTTAGTATTCACAGAAATGCTTGCTTTTCTAATAGAATTACTTTATAGACAATGTTTCTTCTCTAATGTAAAGAAACAAGGTCTTCTGTCTACTGGATAGAATAGATGTTTCAAAAATATAAACAATGTGAGAGTGAAACATATGATAATAATGTTAAACAGAATATAGGGCCAAAGGATGTTTGGGAGCATGGCTTGTGGTAGAGACAGCTTCAGAAAGGAAGCCCAAGAAAGACCTTGCTGACGAACCAAAATTTGAGCAAGCAAGGCTTGAATAGTGAGAAGGGGCCAGTCAAGCTGCTTCTTCTGTAACCCTGGAAACATTTATCAGACAACTGCTGGCATGAATTACTCTCTATACTTAAATGCATTTCTTGTCTTGTTTTCTTTCTAAATGTGTTAAATTGATAAGTTGTTTCTTGGTATACCAATGATGACATAATTGTCTTTTCCCTTGAACTAATTGCATGATTATTACTGACCAGGTATCGAATGACAGACTACTTTCATATAATAACAGGATACTTAACTGATGTTTGGACTTGAAATCTGGTAAGTACAAATTACAAGTTCATTTCTTATGTTTCCTAAATAATGTCAAATGTAGCACTATATAATTCACAGGGCATATAATTATTCTATAGTCAACATGGTGTTTACCAATCAATTATTGTGTCATTTTATCTATTCATTGCTGGTGTTAATTTCACAAAGTACATCCTACTGTTTTTAGGACACATATATCTTAATCTAAAAAATAGTACACGGAAAAACTGTGACTTCATATCTGTTAGTATTGACTTTGTTAAAAAAATGCTCTAAATGTCAAGAAAAGTGTTTTCATTAAAACATTACAATTCTTTAATGTAGTTTGTTTCTTGTGCTACACAAGAAGGAGGATTCCTTGGTCATTCTGAATTCTTTATTTTAAGACTGGAACCCTCTCAGTTTAACAAGTTTATGAGGTTGAGACAGGTTTGTCATAACTAGAGTCTAATCTTTGCTCATTTTTGGTTAAGTAGAGAGGAGTGAATCTCTTCTGTCCCCAAATGCTCACTTATTATTTTTTAGAATGCAATAAATGTATTTTTCTTCATAGATTTAAAAAATATATCTCTATGGAAATCAATATGGAGATACCTCAAAGAACTAGGTTTAGCAGTTCCATTTGACCCAGCCATCCCTCTGCTGGGTATCTTTCCAAAAGAATTAAAAGAATCATATCACAGTGATATATGTGCACCTATGTTTATAGCAGTACAGTTTGTAATAGCTAAAACTTGGAAACAGCCCATTTGCCCATCAGTTGGAAACTGGATAAAGAAGATGTGGTTTTTCTATAAAATAGAATACTACACAGCCATAAAGAATAATAAATTAGAGTCATTCATAGGAAAATGGATACATATTGAGGATATACTTCTAAGTGAAATAAATAAGCCACAAATGTATAAATACTGAATAGTTTCTCTGGTGTGAAAAACTATAATGGTACATAAGATCCTAATGATATAATTGAAATGTGAAATAGGAAGAAAAGGGCTAAAGGTGTAGGGGAAGTGGGAGGGTAGGGGAAAGGTAATAAGGGAAAAGGAAAACATTATGAGAAAATGAAAAAATTAAAACAAAGTATTTGTAAATAGGGAAGGGAGGAGGGGGTGAAGGGAGGGCAGGGATAAGGGGAAAAAATGAGAACGAAAAACTGTCATGTAAAGGTACAAGATCCCAATGATGAATGTAACTGTACTGTATACCTAAAATTTACAATAAACTCAATGAGAAAAAAATCTCTCAAGGAATTATGACAAGTTTAAAATAGTATTAAATGGTAATCTAGAAAGTAAATACACTTTCCACTCTTTATATTGTCTATATTTTAGCTTAGCAGTATTGTGCTAGGACTCTGGAATGGATAAACTTACGGTTGAATTCTGTTTCAATACCAATATGCAACCTTGGACAAATAATCCATGTGATCTTAAGCTTCAGTATCTATCTGTAAGCATGAATAACAATGTCTATCCTACAGGGTTGTACATAATCCTAATAAATTGTAGATCTTCTTGTTTCTATTTAAATGCAACTTAAATTTCTATATCTGTTAATAGGAAGTGATATTATGTTGTAAAATGGGTTGATTGAGCTTCCCGATATTTACCTCAGACCTATGGAATCCCAGGTGGAGGTCTTTCCTCAGAGGCTAGGTTCCCCGCTTGGGGAAATGACCGAGACTGATGACAAGAACTTTTTCCAGGTACCTCAGACAATGATAATGGGAATCCCCATTGTCAATATTTCACTATTTTTACACAGCTGAGAGTCCTGTGTTTATTTTCCTTTTCAATTCTGCTATCTTTTTACTTGTGCTAGCATATCACAAATATCTGAATATCATTGTTGAAATCCTCATATCATTATTTGTTTTGAAAGAACATTTCCCAAAACAAACGAAAAATATAAAGCAAATTCTCCAGGTTTTTGGCAAATAAAGTGAAATATTTCCAAATAAATGAGTTCTTTCTATAGCATATTGTAAAATGAGTACTTCTGGCTATAAAAATAATAAATTTATGTTATTAAAAAGGAAAGAAAAACAAATCTGTTGTGCATTCCATACTCCTTTTGCCCCCCCATCATCTGACTTTTCCTAGTATTATATCAAAATCAAAATAAAATTTATATGATAGTAAATCCTCTAATTGTATTGATTCAGATGAATAAATAAAATTTACACAATAACGTATGAATGACCTCTGCTCTGCAGAAAATTAAGTGTAAAAGTGTGGTACATCATAAAGTCTCAAAACAATTGACATAATTCATACATAATAATTATAGAAATTTTGAAAGAAAAGGGAGGGAAAGAGAGCGAGCAGATAAGGAGAAATTACAAGGCTGTTGCTATTCTTCTCAGTTATATTATAAGGTAAGGATGGATGAATACTACTTTTAACAAAATATTTTTTGTGGTTTTGTAACATGTACCTAAGCATAATTGCATATTTTGGTTCAACAATACAATAAATGGCTTGGCCTTATTTCTGCTTCTATCAGAATATTGCCAATATATTTGGATATTCTTTGTCAGTAACAGTTGTGACAGCACAGCTTGTAGATAATGGTTAAGGCTACATTAATTGTTTTCTTTTTCATCTTTAAATGTCTCTTAAAGACCCAAGATTTCTTGACCTGGATTGCGGAATGGAAAGAATAGACTAAAGAATTATCAGTATCCTCTTGCTGAGTTGGTCACAATTTGTCCTTGTTTTTCAGCTTAGTGGTCTATCCTTGTATTACTTGAATGTGAAAAAAAAAATGCCACCAACAACTACACATAATGTTGTGCTAACATCCAAATTTGACTAAAGAGAGAGAATTTAAGAATACATGATTATCTCATAGCATTATTTTCATGTAATGTCCAAATATGTATAGAAATCTTTCTGATTTTTAATTTTTGAGAATATAATAAATCAAAATATCCAGGAATTCATACATAACTATTTGAAAACAGCACAGCAAAGCATTTTATCTTTGATGTTAATTTTTGAGCCTTTAATTGGTATCAGAAAATACTGTCTACTAGCAATTACTTTTAATTGTCTGATAGTAATTACTATAATGAACTCAACTTGTGAAGTTTCTTCCTGTGCCCGTTCCATCTCAGATCTCAGATCTCAGCTCATTTTTCGTGATTGAATATTCCCAATTCTTTTGTCCAGAATTGCATAGTTTAAAAAATCCTTATTTAAGAATTTTTAATGCTTTTCTTAATACTTTTTATAATTTAAAGAATCTTCTAGAAATTCAGTTATCCATATTTCTTGATGATCAATGAATACTATTTAATTTTTAACTGTTTAAAACATCCACATCCTTGGGAGGCTGAGGCAGGAGGATCGCTGTGAGTTTGAGACCAGCCTGAACTACATAGTGAGTTCCAGGTCAGTCTCAAATACATAGTGAGACTCTGTCTCAAAAAAACAAACAAAAAATTTAAATTAAAAAAAAATAAAATATTCACATCCATTGCTTATTAAAAGCCATAGGTACCCTGTTATACCGAGGCAGAATTCAGTTTCCCTTATTAAGTTTTTGACCTTCTTGACTATATATACAATCGTAGTTTTGTAAATATATTAGCAGGTACACCACACTTAAAATGACTATGTCAATCTCTTCACTAGATATTCTACAATAAATCAGGCAATATTCTCTCCTAATGCAAGTTGAATTCTTCTTGAATGCCTAATGCTAGGTAATATTTTTATCAGTATTAAGCAATTCTCCATTTAAGAATAAATTCAGCTACCATTAAATTGAGAAAATCCTATGTTCAAGAATTATAAAAATGATTCTACTTTTAGTCATTATTTTCAATAATTTTACTTTTAAAGCACTTTGTGTTTTTCCTGTGCTGGGTATCAAATCCAGTGCCTCACATATACTGTACTAGATAAGTGCCCTACCACTCAGTTACAACTCTAGTACCTTAAAGTACATCAGGCGCTTACTCTTTAAAACCTTTGCCTTCATATAAGTGATATATTTTTTCTCTTATAAACTAGGAAATATGACTGCGAAATTTTTGGTTTCATTTACAGTTGATAGAAT